TTTCCTTATTTTACTACTATTTCGGGGTTATTAGTACGTCATAGTTCTTTCAGTTATTTTTAATTTGAAAAAATTGCGTTGCTACGGTTATCAAATTTGTTCATTGACCATTCATATATTTTTTTACAATAGGAACATTCACAGGCTCTCCATGTTTGATTTTTTTCGAAATAAACTTATATTTGTGTAATGACCTGTCAAACATCGCCACAATTGAAATATCTTGGATTGATTAAAAATTTTGCTGAATTTCCTCCCAAAAGCCGCGTAGTAGAGACATATTGTTTGTATCATTATGTTTACATCCTTCAAGTTGAATGAAGATTTGAATTGTGGGAATAACGACAATAAAAATGGCAAAAATTTCAAAAAATTGTTTTAACATTCGCAATCCGCATCTTCATTGTTTGTATTGTAGAAGTTGTTTCAAAGACAGGCGTTGCTTTTGGCATGTTTGTTCGTTTCACATATTATTTAAATCATAAGTAACAAGATTACGGATTATTTCAAATTTGAACGATACACATATCGCAAAAATACCTGAATGATCTATGTAGAACCTCGAATGTCATGTGGCAAAAAATATTCTTACACTCAAATCAAATAAAGGAACCGCATCATGACGTACAAATTACCCCAAAATATAGTAGTAAAACTAAGGAAATTACTCATAACTTGAAAACGCCGCAACCGATTTTGATTTTTTCTTCAGCGATGAAAAGGCGAATGATGTCGAAATAATGATGAAAAATACAGGATTATCTCGCGAGATTACTGGATTGGTGTTCGTGAGACCTTGCTTCTACTGTATGCCAAGAATATTTTCGAAATTTCAATAAATAAATATACCATACCCAATTGAACAAGACCCTTCAATAGTAGTAAAAATGGGTTTTTCAATTATAACTTGGCAACGCCGAAACCAAATTAAATTTTTTCACAACGATGTAGAGCTGAACCTTAGCGGAATAAATTTCGAATGAACAATACTGGGTGTTCCATTTAAAAAAACTCGTCTTCGAGTTGCCTTGCTTTTATAAAACATCCAGTATTGTTGAAAATATTTTTGAAATGAGCAACTCCAGTAACTGAGAAAGTTTTTTCTTCGAAGTTTTTCTCTTGTGATAATTTATTTCGAGATATCGAAGAATTACGCAGTAAATGGACACACTGTATAGATATGGATTACATTTAGGTCCTGCTGTAGATTTCCTGAGTAGATTAAGCTGATTTCCAGATGAGGTATAGATATGAGGATTGCATATAAGTATTCCAGTTCATAGTTGGTAATGTATATAGTGTATATTTCGATGATGAATTGTTTAAAAAAATAGAAGCTAGAGCTTCCATTTTTTTTCGCAAGTACGAGGGGTGTGTGGACTGGTTTTGATCAAAATATAAGTAAGCAAGCTCGAAACCTGAAAACCTGAGAGAGCTGAGTAATGCATTGATTACTGACTTCCCAAAGCTTTTTCTGATAGTTAACTCTGATAATCATCATTACAACCCTAAAGACTGCAATAATTTTCAACCCTCTGCTCATGATATGAAATTTGATTGAACTATTTATCAGTTGAAATGATGAATGTACACCTGGTCATAACTTTTTTGTTATTGGATATTTTTCAGTCAAATTCATTCAGTAGCATTAACAAGGGTAGTAGATTATGTTCCTTCGCCAATTTAGGGTTGAATATCAATATTCCGCATTTTCGTGATTTCAACACCATGTGCTTTTGGATGATAGTTTCTGCAGCCATAGTTGAGGATTCCGACCAATGAGACCCTAGGATCGAGCTGTCCTTGTATAGAGATCAAGGGGAGAATATAAATAATGAAGACAGCTTAGGGACCACTCTCCTCTTCTCCACAAGTCTGCACTACCTGATCTACGTTATACACTCTCTGCTCTTCAAGCTCTTGGTTCTCTTGCTGATCTCCTAGTGCTCTCCTATTTCATTCAAAACCAGTGTAAAGTATTAATGTATAGTGTTTTCCTGTTGCACATCCGAGTTTGTATCATAGTTTTCACTTCAATTATTCATCCTGTTTATATTTTCATTTCATTCCTGTTGCTTTTCATACCGATACTCACCCGACCTGTGTGAAGAATCCAGAACTTGGTATTTGCAAATAAACAGTTTTTTGTGTTTGCATATTTCATATTTCTTTTTCTGTTGTCATTGTTATCAGTTCCGAATAGTTCCAATAATTTATTCAATGATTTTCAATATTTCCATTTGTCAAAATTGCAGATTATTATTATTGACTGACGACTGACACTGACAAGCCAGTCGTCAATTCTTCTTCCTCTTCTTTTCCTTGAGAAATCCTGTCCTGTGCATCCGTGTCCCTGTGCTTAGTATCCTGTCAGGCTGTGGCCGGTGGTTAATGAAATGTTGACATGGATAGAAAAATATAATTAATCTCACTGAAATCCTGGGATAGAAAATTGGAAAATCGAATGAAAAGGAAGGATAAACAAGAATCGGATCTGTTCAATTCGTTCGAAACTGTGTTTCCGTTTGTCCAGGTAGACTTCATGAAATAGTTATAGAATAATTCTCCAGGCCTAACCTAAGAATACCAGAGTCCAGAAAAATATTTGTTTTAATTCCTGTAATTATCCAGACTAAAAATAGCAACCTGTATTTCAGGCTGAACCCAGGGTTTGTAATTAAAGCCTACATTCCCTTGGCTCCTTATTGATTCCAGGTCGATTCAATAACATTGACCCCTGGTTTATACTGTAGGTACCGAGGTAGGTATAACTCCTGTACCTTTCTCCACTGTTGCTTCTTTGGGCCCCTGTACAAAAACATTTTGTGCAGAGCAGGTAGAGTAAACTACCTCAAAAACAATCTGGCGCTCGAGAACCCCCCCCCCCTTCAAATACCAGAGTAGTCTCTGTCCTGAACAGAGTGTCAAAGTATAAGGTCTTCAGATATAAAGCCCGTTACACAACTCATAACCTCATTATACACAATTCATATTATAAAAGCTTGTCACGCGATTTACTTGAGTGAATAAACTAAAACTAATTTGATTTTGTGAAATCTGCTTAATTTGAATTTTTGAAATTTCAGTTCATTCAGAATATATTGATCATCGCGACAAGCTTTTATGATCACATGAATTGTGTTTAATAATAAGATTATAGGTTGACAGTTAAAACTATAAAGAAACATTTTATTCCATTATTTTTAGAGCGTTTGAATGAAAGCTTTCTATTGAAATTTATTTTCCACTTTCAATTTATTTTTTATTTTTAGTCATCACTGGCTATAGGTTTCTTAGTCTGTTTATCGCATTCAACGCATCGTTGTTGCAAGATCATTTGCCAGTTGATCTCGAACAGTCCAGCTATTCAATACGCAGACCTTCTAATATGATTTTACCCTATACTTAAAGCCACGTATGCCTGACCAGCAGCGAAGAACTCCAAGCCTAAGTAAATAACGGCGTAGTCGACAGTACTTCCTTGCATTTTGTGTACTGCACAAGCCCTACATAATACAATTGGCAGCATTCTTCGTTCCGCGGTTCCGTGACTATATTTTGCTGTAAATTGCTGAGACTTAGGGTGCCATATTGGATTTAGAGTGATGTTACATCATTTCAAATTATTCCCGGCAAGTCCTCTCATATTTGATACCCATATTGCAGGAGTGCATGAATAACAATACTATTCTTCCATCTTGGAAGTTCCGCCATATTGAATTCAGAATAACGTTACATTATTCATCGAATCACTATCAACGAACCGTTTCATTTGATACCCATATTGTAAAAGTGGATTCAAAATAACTATCGCGCCATCTTGAATGGCCTGCCATATTGGATTCACAATGACGTCCCATGATTCTCCGAGTTGCTCTCAACGAGCCCTTTGAAAATAACTATTCCGCCATCTAGGATAGTCCGCCATATTGGATATAGAATGACGTCACATTATTTTTTGAGTTACTCCCAATAAGCGCTTTCATATCATACATATATTGTAGAAGTGCATTAAAAATATCTATTACGCCGTCCAGAATGCTCCGCCTTTTATTGAATTTAAAATGACGTCGCATCATTTTTCGTGTTTCTCTCAACAAGTCCTTTTATTCCAATTCCGTATTGTAGAAATGCATTGAAAATAACTATTCCGCTATCTTGGTTGGTTCGCCATATCGGAATTGAAATAATTTCTCACACCTCATCGTGTATTGTCATCCAAACTCAACGTGTATATACACAATTTCAGCTCCATCGGTTGAGGATATCTACCTCAAAATTGGGTTCAAAGATTCCACCCGAACTAACAGACATAATTATATTGAAAATCTTTCAACAAAAAATGAATTTCATCAAAATACATTCATGCAGGGAAATTCAATCTGGTGGCTTCTTTCGTTCAGAAGTTATGCGGAAAATTATTTGAATTTCAACATCTTTGGAGAGATATATTATCTTTCTTGATATACACGTTGGACCATCAGTACATTCATCAAAGTATACTCATTTTCCAATGTAGGTACTATCACCTCCAGAAAACTCGGTACACATTATTGGCTCACCCTGTATAAGCAGGGATTCCACTTAGTCATTACTTCCCTTCACAAGAAATTCCACGGGATTCGTTATGCTCCAGAATTCTCAGATGTGACGTGAAACGGAATCTACATGAACCGTTGATTCTAGTTATGAAACGAAAGGATCAGGGTGTTTTGTTACAGGGAATCAAGTTGTCGCCCATATCTAGTCTTGAGACTCTTAGGATTCCTCAAAATATTTCAGCTGAAGTGGTGATCATTTATTCGGCGATCAATCAATCTTTTAAAATAGTTGAGAAATTCAATCTTCCAATTCTGCTGAACATCAGCCTGTATGTATGAGTAAATATAATTTTATCTGTGTTATCTCTATTTGAAGAAGATAATACATTACCATACTAGTGAAGGATAAAGATATGACGATCAGTGGGAATATAGCCTGAAAACAGTAATTACGTAAACATGGGTTGTGCGGAAGGAGTTGTGAAATTATTGGTGTTCTCTGCTAACCTTGTATTCGCCGTGAGTAGATACTTGTTTTGTTTCAAGATCTTCATTATTTTCATCATTCGATGGATTTCCTTCACGAAACTTTGTAGAACGTGATTTTTTCAGGGTACATATATTTCGTCAGATCGTATTGTATCAAAACCGTATTCAAGTCATCAAATCGAAATCTATCATAATGGCATTCTGTAGAAACTGTACTTCATAGAACCAATAATTCATCAAAATATAAAGGATCATAATGTATCTCATCATAGAGTTAAACGAAGAAATGTACTTCATAGAGAAGTAAAACATCATACCTTATTTTTTAGAATTGGTAATCCATCATAACCGTATTCCATCGAGACAGTAAATCATCAAAATCGTATTATATCGAGACAATATCATAGAACCTGTTGAGCATCGAAACGGCAATTCTTCAGATCCGTATTTCATCAAAACATCAATCTATCAGAGTGAACACTTATCGAATTTGTAATTCAGCGAAACCGTAATTTGTAGAAACCGTAATTCGCCAGAACCGTATTTCATCAAACCAATAATCCATCATAACCGAATTTCGTAGAATCGGTAATTCATCAGATTCGTATTCCATAGAAACAGTAATTCATCAAACCCGTATTTTATCAAAACGTCAATTCATCATATCCGTATTTCATAGAATCAGTAATTTGTCAACCCCGTATTTTATAGAAACGGAAATTCATCAGATCCGTATTTCATAGAATCAGTAATTCATCGAACCCGTATTTTATAGAAACGATAATCCATCAAACCCGTATTACATAGAATCTGTAATTTGTCAAACCCGTATTTTATAGAAACGGTAATTCATCAGATCCGTATTTCATAGAATCAGTAATTTGTCAAACCCGTATTTCATCAACATTAATTCTCCATATTGAATAACTGGTAATTCAGCAGATCAGTATTTCATAGAAACCGTAACTCGTCGACACCGTATTTTATCGGACGGTAAATCAACGGATCAGGTTGAAATCGAAATGATACAGGAAACTGCATTGCAGTGACTCGCCAAAGTAAATTTAGATAGTTGAGTAGGACATGCACAGATGTCGCAGCTCGATAGTGAGGTATAGTAAAATACTGTCGAAAATTATTGATTTTACAGGAACAGCAAGAGATGCATTCGTTCAAATACTCGATGATAGGGTAGGTACCTAAACGAACAATCAAATCTTGCCGATATTTCGTGAAGTTGATGAACACAGAAATTTCCAAACGTTCGAGAATAATTGAATTTTGCAATTATGTTATGTTATAGAACTGCCATGGGTATTTCGACATCGTTTTCGATATAGGTATATTATTTCATTTTCATTCATTATTATGATTGAACGAACCACTTCCTTTCACTGTAGTGATTTATAATCGATAGGTACATCCATAAATACTTGGGAAGAAATCAGGCCAGGCCTGAATAGGTACCTATACCTAGGTGTTATATTTTGAACATTTAATTTTTACCAGGTGCACATCCATGGGAGCTAGAAGGGGTGATTACGCCCCTCAGAAAGCAGGAAGGGTAAATTCAAGATCGCGGATCCCATATGGCGGACGAATTTTGTAATTATGATTCAAATCTATTCAAAATTTGTATCTGCGGGTTCTCGGGATCAGAAATTCTTATGCTTTCGTCTAAATTTGAAAATTCAAGAAGGCGAATCCAATATGGCGAACGAGTTTTCTAATTATTATGATCCGCTTCTATTCAAAATTGGTATCTGGATTGAAACGGTTTTTGAGGTCGGAGATTGAGATTATGATTCTTTCGTCGAAATTGTTGAACTCAAGATGACGGATCCAATATGGCGAACGAGTTTTCTAATTATTATGATCCGCTTCTATTCAAAATTGGTATCTGGATTGAAAGGGTTTTGTAATTACGATCCGATTCTACTCGAAATTTGTATTTAGGGACTTTCGAGGTTGAAGAATATGATTTTGTTTTGTCAAAATTGGAAAACTAGTGATGGCGGATTCAATATATGGTGGAGCAGTTTTGGAATTATATGATTCGATTCTATTCAAAATTGGTATCCATTTTTTTTGGGTCGGAGATTATGATGCTTTTATCAGAATCAAAAAATTCAATGGAGAGCATATAATATAATATATATGGCAGACGGGATTTGTTGTATCTGGAGGTTGTTGGGGTAGGAGATCAAACTAAAAAACACGCTTTTGTAGTAAGCCGCCGAAATAAAAAATAGGAACCCTTTTATAGATAGTCAAACTAAAGAGAGGTAGAAAATGAAATAATGAAAGTGTGTTGATAAATATTTAACTTAAAATGTACTGATCACGGAGATGCTAAAATTTTCTTTGTAATGTATTCATCAACACACTTTTATTATTTTAATTTCTACCTCTTTTTAGTTTGACTGTCTATAAAAGGGTGTTTCTTTAGTTTTCGGAACTACTATTTATATTTACAATTAATAATTCAGAACAACGGAAGCGCGTTTGTTTCCTTTTGGCCTTGTCATGCCATCAGAGACTCTTCCAGAACTACGATTCGTTCTTCAAGAAAAATTTGAGGTAATATCTCAAGACTGTTTGAGAAGTTTGATCAACTCGATGCCACGGCGGGTGAATGCTGTAACTCAAGTTCGAGGATAGTATACCTACTTATTATTGACCTACCATCTAGGTCTGCTTTTTGTTTGTTTTTCGTACTTAGGGTTCTTTCGAGGGGTCAACCAAGTCCAATTCCGATGTAATCCGTCCAATATCTTGCTGAACGGAGTATCGTCTCATATACCATTTCTATCCATTCCGGCGTTCCACAAGGATCACACTTTCGGCTCCAACATATTGTTCCTACTTCATATCAATGATCTGTTGGGAGCTACCACTTGCCGTATCCACAGCTTTGCAGACGATAGAACTCTCCATACTGCGTTCTCTTCTAGAATTCCCAGGTAACCAAGAACCCAGCAAACACAAATACATATCTGATACATAACAACCACATATTTCTGTACTCATCCGATGTTGCAGACATTTTATTTGTACAGTTAATGTATCTTGCATGTAACGTCAAATTTCCGCCTCCCTGAATATGTCCTTTATATATCTGACATATGTTGAGCGTTTTCGAAGTAACATTGCATACATGTATCAGATACATTATAAGTAACGAATTTGTTCTTATAATGATATGTAAATGAATGTTACAGAGTAATATATGTGAGATAAATACAAAATAATGTATTTGATCATTTCGAGAAATATACAGGAATTTGAGTGTCGACAGCCATATTGATAACTTTGTTATTATTGAAGATACAAAATTGTTCACATTAACAAACTATCAGTAGGTACATATAGGTATTTCTGACTATAGAAGACAATTTCTCATTATATGTTACAAGAAACGCGATACTCGAATGTTTATTTTTATTCTTTCACCATAAAAAACATTGAAGCACCTGAACAAGAAGATATATTGCATGAAATGTAATAGCTTTGTAGCAGATATGTTCCACGGTGATGTTTCTCCGAAACCCTGATGAGCTCCATTTGCCATATGGCAGACATATGTGTTTGCTGGGAACTCACGACGACGGCAGGTCAACGCTGTCCATGACGACAAATTACTACCTATAAGGTACCAACAATCTAGATCAATTCATTGCCACCAAAACTATACCCTGTATTTTTCTCTATAGAGAGACAGAACTCAGCATGTCTGATATAACAATGTCTGGAACCAGTATTATGACCAAACCCACTATATTTATGAACTATAAAGGTATTTTCATCAGCAATACTCTTTCATGGGAGAATCATGTTCGATCCATCGCGAAAGCAGCTTCGCAGAAACTCGGATTTTTATTCCGCGCGAAAATTACTTTACACCTCAACAGCTTCTCAAGGTCTACAATGCAAAGATACGGCCAGTTTTAGAATACTGTTCTCACATATGGGGTTCAGCACCCAAACATACGCTGATGTTCTTAGATTCCGTCCAGAAAGGAGTCATTTGTCTGGTGGGGTGATGCCACACTCAGTAGTACTTCGACCTCATTAAAACACCGTAGAGAAGTTGGCGACCTTTAACTTTTCTATAGATACTTCCACGGAAAATATTCCTCAGAAATATCTGCAGACGAACTCGACAGGTCCAGTCAGCACATCTTTTCCTTATACACCTTGAAATATGTCGAACAACATTCTACCAAAACTCCATGTCTATAGAACGGAACAGGGAATCAGGGAGTTACCAATCCAAATTGCTTCGCATGACATCACACGTTTCGCGGCTATGTCTGATCGTTTGAATTCGCTCTTTTATTTTGGCGTTTCCAAAGATTTTCAATACGATGAGTTGATAGAAAGAAATCGCAGAAAATATTTCAGAGCCATATATTTTTTTTAGAAATGACTGGAAAGACCCATTCACTGTTTATGCTATAACTTACGGAAATCTGCATTCAAGTCGAAAATATGGATTTTCCGTTAACATGTAGCATTTCCAAGTTTTTGCAACGATTTTAACCTCAGTTTCATAACATAAGGAATTCAGAGAGGAAATAACTCCGAAGTCGTCTCCTTAAATTTACTGGCGAGATGTGCAATCAATTCTGATGCTTCATCACTCTTGATTGCGACATGTTTCGACCTATCAAATGGTCATCATCAGTCATAGTACTAACAAAGTCAATGTGAAATCGATATATGTATTAATAAATGGATATAGTTTACGATATATATATATATATAAATGAATGAATATATATATATATATATATATATAGATATATTTATCGATTTATCGATATTTTTCATATTACATCTTTATTTGATATATCGGTACATTGATTAATCGATTTTTTTCCAGCCCTACCTAGTTTTGTCACACATTAGCTTCAACATTTACTAATATTCAGCACTATTTGTTGACTATATGGACCTGATTAGTAGAAGACTATATAGAACAGAACTACGAATAATTAGATATTGTTGCGAAAAAAGTTGGTAGTTTG